TTGTTTATGTAATGTTATAAAACACTACCTGGGCGTCACAGTATGGAAATATTTTGAAAGTTTTGGGGGAGTATTGGCAGTATTTAAGACTGGTTAGATTAGAATTCAAAGCCACTTTTTTTTTTTTTTCACAAGCTATAGAATTTTACATGAATTGGCTCTGAAAGTTTCAGGATATTCACTCATAACACAGAAATAACGTGACTGAAAAGCTCTACCAATCTCCACTCCCCTAACAACTCAGGACTCACTCTGGACCTGAACCCTTTGATGATAACCTTTTGTTTATTTTCAAACAAACTTTTGCATATTTTCAAACAGAATAAATAAGAATGAAAGTTAATTATTACAAAAGTTATTTATTACAAAAAGCATAAAATATTTTACATTTAAAATTTAGTTCATAAATTGCATATTCTTCTTTGTAACTATTGGCATATTTGTTTTCGCTGTTGGTTTCACAGACTCATGTATGTATATGTACATTATTGTATGTATTTCAATATATATACACATATTTTAGTGAAATATATCCATCTTTTGTTTTTGTAATCATATCTCTCAAAGCATATCATCTTTTCAAATATTGAGAAGTTCCATTTTAATTAATTTTACATTTAAATATTCAATTTATCTAAGGAGTTTAGCCTATAAGTGATATGAGCATTGTCTTAACAAAAGTTGTTGATTAATGCCATCTCTGACACTGATTTTAAACAGTTATCTTAGTTCTCCCAATCACGGATACCCTTTTAATGTCCCTACCCTGCTTCCTGTACCTGAATGCTGCAACCTTTTATTCCTTTACATGACTCATGTCCTTATTATAATCATAGAATACATTTATCGTCTAGCAGTTGAAGTCCAGCAAATCACTTCAGCCTCTTCTGTTTCTTAAATGAACACTAGAACCCAAGAAAGTAAAACATAACAATTTCATTTGTAATTTATATTTGAATTCTGAAAGAACTGACACCTACAAACAGCAATTTAAAGTTAGCCTCTTTGGCCAGAGCCAGGAAGATTTCCTCCATGATCCTCAGCCCTGAGCTTTGACTAGAAAGTGACCAGAGGCAGGAATGAAACCAGTTTGATTAAAAGACCAAGAAAGCCAGGTAGGTGGTTGTGACTGAAAAGTTATGAAAGACCAGAGACTGTACTCATGGCTGCTCTCATTCATTGTTTTAGTTAAACCTCCCAGACTGTGTCCTGGTAACTATAAGAATACAAAACTGAAGGGCAAACCTGGGGTCAATCCCTGAGACCTAGGTAAATGTGGAAGGAGAGAACCGCTTGGCAAAGCTATTCAATGACCTCCACTCTACACTGTGACACGTGCTTACACCCTCTCACACTCACATGTTCACGTACAGTAATGAATAAATAAAATTACACAACTACTCCTGTGCCCACTCTTTCTCCTCTTCCTCCACTTCACTGGAGTGGTCAGTTATAAGATCAGTTATAAGATCTGAGAAATCTGCTGAAAAAAAAAAAAAAAAAGATCGAAGATTGAGCAGTTTGCAAAATCAAGACAATCATACTTTCTAATCATACAGTCTATGCATCATAAACTTTTTTGTGTGGCAGCTGGATATTTAAGCCAGTATCTTGTGCAGACTGTACAGTGAACTTCTGTTGAGCTACGTGCTCAACCGCCTCCGACCATAGACTCTTACGTGTACAAAATCAGCCAGTTCATATGCCTCGTGGGCAGCCTCGTTGAGTGTATGTGTTTTGCTTGCTGTCTGATAGCTCTGTAGTTGTCGTCACAAGAAGTGATGGGGAAAATGAAATATTATTCCCTTAAGAGTTCTAGTCTTAAAAAAAAAAAATCCACTCTTTCAAAACTGTTAGAAAATTGGTTCTCATACAAGTTCCGGGTGAAAACTAAGCTCTTCTATCTCATGCAGTATTTACTTCAAGAAAGAATCCTTCCTTGCAGTTTTCTGACTTTGCTGCCTAAATAATCTTTTGAAGGCATGGGACACTCGCTCAAATCACAACATCCCCAAGTTTAAGCCTATCTACAAACTCAGCTCAGAACCCCAAGCAGCGCCGTGGCTCCCATTCCAGAAGCACCAGTCCATTTACAGAGCCGCCACCTTTCCCGGCTCCTCCGCTGCTTAAGCTGCGTCTGTGATCACATTCCAGGTCAAGCTTTTTTATTTTTCCCAGGCACTGAGGGCCAATCCAGCAGCCTGGCGTTTTCCAACATTGTTAGCCACCGTGACTGGCTGTGTCTTGCTCGGTTTATCTGGTAACATGTATCTTGTTTTTCTGGAAAGGCAGCAGATGTCTGTGTATCCCCCTCTCCCAGATCTGGGCTATCTGCAGCAAACATCTTTATAAGTAAAGTAAACAAGCTATTCTACTCGATTATTTCAGTTTGTGGTTCATCCTGTCTAGTGAGTCTAGTGATGGCTGGGATGAACATTGTTCCAGGTAGGTCAGATGGTGATCTGCACGGAGCACCATGATGCTATCACTTCAGATGCTACCAAGCCTGCTACTCAACACAATGGCCTAGACATTGGACCGTACAACAGCTGTAGCCTGGTCTACTTCTGTCCCACGGTGGCTTGTTGTGTCCATAATGTTAGAAGCTCTTTGTTCAGTGGGATGAGGTCCACAAGAGCACACACTGTCAGCAAAGCTTCTGGGAATCTTCTTGTCTCAGCTTTTAGACTGCAGGAAAATGAAAACAGAAATGGAGGGAGTGGGGAGGGACAAAACATTTTAATATTTTATTAAAATATATAAAAAAAAACTGCCCCTTTGAGGTTAACACTTTCGTGTTATATTAGAAATTCTAAATCATGCTCACAGCAGTCTACCGTATTATCTTCCTTGGAGTTTAACAAATTTATTAAATAAAATTCCCTCCTGTGTAGGGTGCTTTACCTCAAGTCTTACCTCTTTGCAGCCTTAATTAGATGGACCCACCCGTTTAATATTTAATACAAATTCATTTCATAGAAGCAAACTTAATCCAATTAGAGTTGTTGACTGGTGTGCTCACACATGATACTAATTTTTTTTCTTTATTTTCTTTCTATTGTGTAGAATATTTACAGCTCTCACTTGCCCTGCCTTTTGACATATTTTCAAGGTTACAGAAAGCAACATGAAGCTACTTGATACATTTTTTTCCCTCATTGGATGTAGTCTTTTTTCCTTCATAATGATGTTGAATTGGCTAGTCAACAATAATATTTTATTTAATATTCAGAAGAAGCACAGTGAAAACTACTAGTTTTTATTTTCCTGAGTTTGTCTGAGTTCATTATCAAATCATTGTTGTGCTTTTACCAGAAGCAAATTGGAGAAAGCCTTTCCTAACTAAAAAAATAAAACAACAACAAAACAAAAAACTGCTTCAAAGTACTGTTTTCCTTTCCACTTCGTTTCTCCTATCAATGGCTGACTATAGGGCACTCCTCCTACTCTGTATACTGTCTAATCTTGGTGTTTAGAGATTTGTTCTCTCTCTCTCTCTCTCTTACATTTCAATTTTTTTTCTAACTCTTACTCTTCACAAGGAAGCCAGAAGTGTGACAGAAAGGTGTGATTTTTAATTTACACCACAGGTCTTGCAAATAATGACTTTTCACACCCTGCAATTTCTGCTTAGCCTGGGGGAGGAGTTCTGTGGCTACTGTTTGTTGAGGCAAATTAAATCCACTGTTGAAATTCAAAAGGTGTTCTTCTGCGCTTAACCCTTGTTTTCACTTTTTCCAGTTGGTGTTTGTGGAAATTTAGGGGTAGGTGGCCCATTACTTTGAAGTTTCTTGTTTTCTAGGAAATTGCTTTTGAAGGCTGTTATTGTCGGGCTGTCTTGAATGACGGGTATATCTTTTTTCTTCTTTGATGTTGGTAACTATAACTTAAAAAATACAAAAACAAAGAATGCAAAAGTGTTTATATAAATATATATATTCCTATAATTCCAATTCCACCAAGGGGACCTTTTCCCTTTGTCTTTACAAAATAGCTGATATCATAAAGCAAAATGATAGATCCTATGAAATAAAAGTCAATGTTGAAAATAATATTGAGAGCTTAAAATGTTTTAAAATTGCTTTTGCTTTTGTTTTTTGTTCTTACCAATTCCTTAGAATTCTCTTTGGTAGAATCATCAAGACAGGAAAAAGGCTTCCTCAAGGGAAATGGAAAATTATGCAAGCTGGCAGACTACATTAGTGGTCTGCAAAGTTCATGAGTAGTTAAGAATGTACCTTGCAAAGTCTGCATTGGCTTCTTTCACATAGACAACACTAATATCTTTAATCATTTCCTAACTTTGAATCTGCCCAACTAAATATGTATGTGCACATACGTATACACACACATATTGCTTTACCAGCATGTAGCATGAAATTGGAGGGCACACTGGAATATGTCCGAGTAACGTGGGAAGGATGGAAGAAAGATACGTGAGGTCAGTGATACCTGAGAAAGTTGGCTCAACCTTTGCCTGCTAACCCAGAGCTGTGAAGATGGTGGGAAGGCCCCTCTCCTAGCTTGGAGCAGCAAGGGGTTAAGCCATCCTGGCTCACTCATATCTCTCAGTCAGATTGTTATCTGATCCTTCCTCCCTTTCGCCCCTGCCCACCCCTCTGTAAATGTCAACCACTTCCTGATGATTTCACACCTTTCTGTTCTTTGTGAACAAACCTGGGTGTTAATGGTACAGGATTGGGTGCCATTGTATGCTCTGGCTGTCTGTTAGTTAAGCTGAGTGATGCCTGTGGAAATCAAGTAGGAGAAGGTGAATAAGCAATAGGCTAAAATTCACCTTTAAAGCAACTATTTGTTTTATTAGCAACTTTTAGGTTTGTACTGTAAAAACATTAATTTTTTTAAAGCTAAGTATTGAAAGAAGTGTAGCAGAGTAGAAAGCTGACTGCTTTTAAAAACCAACAATCAAAGACCAACAATCAGGAAGGAAGAAAGGAAGGAAGGAAGGCTATCCCCACGTTTCAGTCTACAGGTGTATTGACAAGAATCTGACAATGGAAACGTGGTCAGTTGATCAGGTCTGCAAGTGGTTGATGGAGAAAAACTTAGGTGAGCTAGTCCCCAGGTTTCAAGGTGAGTTGCTTGTACTTTTAGTGGATTTTATTTGAGCCTAAGGCTGTGCAGGTGTCCTCTTTTGCAAACGCTGCTTTGTTGCTGGTGTCTGCCTGCTGTGGAAGAGATGTTCCGATGGAGAACTCCATCGCTTTCCCACAAAGTGGGGGCAGCTTTCCTTTTACCTAGCATCCTCTGAAGAGAATGTTATTTCCAGACAACTGCAAACTCTTGGGAGTTATGTTTGATACAGACTTCGTGTGTTTGTTTTGTCTTACATAACCACATGTGTTTTACACAGTGTGGGATGTACTGGTTTTAAACATCAAGGAGGAGATATTATAAAAATAGCTTCCCCAAAAGACCTTCTGTTTCTTTTGGCTGTTAAAATTGGCCTGGGGAAGGGTATTGCGTGCAAACAAAAATATTTTTATTAGGATTTGGTGTTCTGGTAATTTTTTAGCAGCAGGCATTAATTTGGAATTATGCAGTATCAGAACCTCGACAGCTAATGCTGTAACTGCCGTCAGAAGCTTAGATGACGCCTTTAACACTAGGACTGGTTTTATCTCCCTCCCGTGCCCATGTTTTCCTGGAAAGTGATAGGAAAGCTATTATCTTTCTCCCAGAGGAAGAAGTCAGTGGTGCGGCCCTCCTGGCACTTAATGACCGGATGGTACAACAACTTGTAAAGAAAATCGGACATCAGGCTGTTCTGATGGACTTCATTAAAAAATACAGGCAGAGCAATCAAGGGCTGAAACCCGCCGGAGGCTCCAGAGAGATGTCCCTGCTGACCCTGGCACAGGCAGCCCCCGAGTGAGTATGCGGGTGAACGGGCTTGGTTTTCGCTCTTTTTTTTTTTTTTTTTTTTTCCGCATGGCCGTTGCCTTGTGGTAAAGAATCAAGGCTCTTTCAAAACTGTGGCCAATTTTCAGCTAGATGGTGTGCACAGGATTTCTACTATTTGTCTAACTCTCAGGAAGAACTGTGTCAGGTCTTGCTGTTTTCCTTTCCACCGTGGTTGTTAAAGCGGTCCTGCAGGCTGGAAGTTCCTACATGACCTGGTATGAGGCCAACAGAAGTGCGAGGACCTGTGGCTTTTCCTTTGCCCTCTAACAAGCTACTTGATCATTTGTGTGTGTGTTTTCTTCGGTCTTTCTATGGTAACTAATTTATAATCTCTCCTCAAAGCCTTCACAATAGAATTTGCTCACACCTTTGCCACATTTGAGTTTCATAGTTCTTTAAAAATTAACCATAAGACAAGGAGCACCGTGACAGAAACCATGTAGAAAATTCACAGTGTCAGACAGAAGCTCGAAGGCTGGAGGGTGGCTTTGTTTGTTGGTTTGTTTTTATCTCTGACTTTGCAGTCTAAAGGGATGATAACAAGATATTTCAATTAAAACGTTCAGTTTTACACATATATGCCTCAATCAGGAAGTCTGATTTAATGTTTCTGTATTTGAGGCTTGGCAAGACATTTAAGGTTAAATATTTACTATTGACGAATTACTGTTCACTAAAAAAAAAAAAAGCAATATTTGATGGTATTGTTTTATTTTTGTCTTCCTTAGAATTAGGCCTGCCAGTAATTATAAATATTTCTCTTTTTCCTGATAAACAAAAAGTTAAGAGACTTGGCTTAGTTAATTTGATTTCTAAAGTATTTGGATTATTTGGGACAGGTAGCCATGACGGGCTAGTCTTAAATTGGGCTAGAGTTGAGCACTGCTAAATTGTAATTCCATTACTTGAGGGGTTGAGGCAGAAGGATTGCTGTGAGTTTGAGGCTGATTTTGGCTATAGAACTCCATCTTGTATTTAAAAATAATAATTATAATAATAATTATAAATGAGGCCAGATTGAAATTCCTCCAAGTGATTTCTTTGAAGGATTTCTACCATAGATGGTTGCAACATGGTCTTGAGTCTGTGACTTTTTGTGAAGTTCCCACTGTAACCTTCTAATCCTCTCTGGCAAAGGGGAGGGGTGAGCTTCAAAGAGAGAGAGGGAAAGGTCATTTCCTGGCCTTTTGGGTGGCTAGAACTTTTGAGCAGGAAGTCCCTTCCCCTGTTGACTGGAATCTTAATCTTGCCTTGGGCACAGCTCAGAAGAAAACTGGCAGCCTGCAATCCATTTATCTGCTCTGTCACACACTGGAACTCTTTGGGCTGCCAAGAGCTCAGAGGCAGGGGTGGGGGTGGGGCCTCATTCTTGCTTTTACCACTGACTGCGATTGATTTAGTTCCATGTTGGAAGTCATATTTCTTTATCTGCACACCAAGAAAGTAATTGCACTCTTAACTGATTGAATTCACGCTACGAAACACCAAAATCTTGGGACAAATTTGCCCTTCTTTTATCAGAGCAACAAATACTCTGTTAATTATGAAACTTTTGTTGTTGGTGGTGGTGGTGGTTTGCGTGTGTGTGTATATATGTATACATATATGTATATATGTATATATATATATATATATATTTTTTTTTTTTTTTTTTTGAGAAAGGGTTTCTCTGTGTAGCCCTAGCTGTTCTGGAACTCATTCTGTAGACAAGGCTGACCTCTAACTCAGAAATCTGCCTGCCTCTGTCTCCGAGTACAGGTGTGTGCTATATGAAGCTTTCTTAACCAGGTTATGATGGCTAGTTTCAAACATAGCCATGACTGGGCATATGGAAGGCCAGAGGTTTATGAATGTTGAACTTTTTGCTCTGTTCAGCAAGATCCCAACTTACTTTAAGGATTTGTGTAGTCTTGTATTTAGGAGAAAATATTCTTGTGTGAAATCATAACTTGCTTGTTGGTTATATTTGCATTTTCTCACTGGAAGAATATATGTTAGTTGAGGATGATAGTACATACCATTGTACATACCATTGTATTATGAGGATGAATACATACCGTTGAATCAAACCTTTATAGAAACTGCTGTATAGAGACTTGAAATTTGATGTAATAATACAGTTATGCAATTAAACATGTGATTTCAGGTTCCTATTGTATTTGCTACTTATCTAACCTTGGCCAGTTACTTGGCTTTTTACTATTTTTACTTTAAGCCTTTTCAACTGTAAGATGAAATATAGAATAAATTATTCTATATTTGGCCCATTCTTAAGACTTTATAAATAGAGTTATGTATGAGAGAGTAACTCAAATAAAAGTCCATTTAGTGGTTATCTGGTATATTGTTTTGCAAAAAAACAAAGAAACAAACAAACACAAATATCTGAACAGGATACATCCAATTCAGAACTACACAAATAATAGGAATGCATGGTTTGCAGTTGTTTTTTATTGTTTTCAGTGGATCTGGTAGAAAAAAAAATCACTGAGTGGGAAATTGGAGAGAATAGATACAGATTCTGACAGGATTATTGTGCAGCCTGTGGCCACGAGCAAGCTGCATCCATTCTGGGCTTTTGGGTTTCCTCACTTAAAAGTGATAGAGTACAGATGAAAAGATTTTCTGGTGATAAAAACCTTCCCTTGTAAATAGTAGGGAGGAGAGATCTGACAGAGTAAAGCACTTGTTTTTACTGCAAGAATACTAACTGGATAAAGCAGACTTGACCTCATAAAGGAAAGTTTCATCTCAACACTGTTTAAAAATATGCCAGATTGGGAACTGAGGAAATGGCTCAGTTGTTAGGGCTTGCTATGCAAGCATGAAGACACAAGTTCCCTACCCAGGCAGCTGAAGTGGCATCAACTGCAAGTCCTGCGCTGGAGAAACAGAGAAAGCCAGATACCTGGAGCCCTCTGTCCAGCCAGCCCAGAGTAATCAGCAAGCCCCAATCCATAATAATCTTAATAGCACACACACACACACACACACACACACACACACACACACACACACACTGCCAGACTGATGAAGTCAGCAAGGTGAGCTGACACGTTCTTAGCCATGAGTCTCATGTAAACTTGGATAAGGATGAAGATGAGCTGAGCCTTCCCTCTTAACATCATGAGATCAGTGGTTATTGCTTCTATTTAACCTCTCCTGACCATTGCATGGCTCTTTCACTTTGCTACAGGCATGAACAAAACTACAGCCCAACCAGCTCTGGGGACCATCCAGCTGAAAACCTTGATAATAGACTCATTGACCAAAGAGTATTGAAGCAGAGGTGAGATGCCGGCTTTACAATACTTTAAAGTTAAATTAGGTTTGTCTTTATTTTTTAATGAGATTTCATGTGTTTAAATACATTGCAATTTAATACATTTTCATTGTCCTAGAAGGTAAGCTTTTTATCAAGTAATGGAGAAACTTGGTATAATATCTAGGTTGAATTGACAAAGAAGTTCTGATGGTGTCATACATTTCTTTCAAGTGTGTTTTCTTAGGTGTGGAAAAGTATATTCATTTACCATAATCTATACACGTAATTGTAAATCTTGAATTGAGCACAATCTTTTTTGTTTTGTTTTGTTTTGTTTTGTTTTGCCTTCCATTTTGTAGGATGCTTCACGTTGACTATTCCAGAGGGAGGCACTGTTCTCCTGAGCAGTTCCTCAAATTTCCTACCCTGGGTCTGACACTGTGATATTTCAGTGTCTGGGTACCATTGCCCCAAAGTTGGGGAGGGGGCTATGGACCTAGAGAACCACATGTAGAAATCCAGTGCCCAGACCAAACTGAAGAGGGGGTGGTAGAGGAGAAGCACCTTTGCATCTGCCTCTAGCCTTTCACAGTCATTCAGCCCAGGGGTCCATGCATCTGCTACGCATGATTAAGAGTCACCGCAGAGGGAAACATCTCGGGTGTGGAGGAAATATTCAGAACCAGGGCTACGATGCTTTCTTCTCAGCAATTGGCTCTGGGAGACAACTTAAGACCAACTCTGGTCCCATAGATTAGGGTAGGATAAGATCTCTTTACCTCATGCTCTATCCGAGACAGTGACAACACCATCCAGCCACGAAAACTAAAATAACGAAAGGAATCTTCTATCTTTTTCTCTGTCCCTTTGCTATTCTATTCATTTGATAGTTATATATCAAGGGCTTCCTGTATGTCTTTCATGTCAGGCTCTGCGGTCCCCTCACCTTCATGCTTGCCTAAAATCTGCCCATGCTTTCAAACAGCGGTTCTCAACTTTCCTAATACTTCAACCCTTTAACGCATTTCCTCATGCTGTGGTGACTCTCAACCATAAAATTACTTTTGTTGCTACTTCATAACTTAATTTTGCTACTGTTATGAATCACAAGATAAATATCTGGGTTTTCTGATGGTCTTAAGTGACCCCTGTGAAAAGGTCATTTGACTCTCCAAAAGGTTCATGACCCACAGATTGAAAACCATTGATTTAAGACTATTTAGCATCTTCTGGACCATCTAGGTTGAGTCTTTGTATAAACAGTACATTCTTTATAATTCTTGTTCTACTTACAAAAGTAAGTAGAAAACTTTATTAAAATCTACGTTTATTAAAATCTACATTCCCTCCTTGGACTATAAACACCACTGAGTTCATTTTTAAATTCCATTTTATTTGGGTTTCCTTAAAGCCTCTTCCTTCTAACCCCCCAACCCTAGGTAGGAGAGTGAAGGTTAGTGGGGAGAGAGAAAGCAGACCCTATTACTTCTCCTGGATGCTTAGGATGGATGGGTTTTTAAGGGCTATACCAATCCCCGTCAACAGTGAAGCAGTGTTCTCCAACCAACTGCCACATCATCGCTGGTCTCTCCAAACTGCCACATGCCACCTCTCTCTGTGGGCTCTCCTACTTATATCTCTCAGAGTACTAGACAATGCCTAGACCCCTCTCAGTGCTGCAAATACCGTGCCCCTCAGGAGACAATTATGAGCTGTGACGAACTAAAGCCCAAACTGAAATCCCACACTTGGGATTAAAACAAAAACATATTTACCTAACACAACTGAGTTTTAAAAGGAACCAAAACTTTCATTATACACCACAGAGACAAATAACCACATCTTTTTATTTCATAAACAGAATTTTATTTTATCTCGAGGTCTGGCCCCCTTAAAATCCAATCAGACATTCAAAACTGAGGTGATGAATGTGAACCAAAGAGAGAGAGAGAATATACTTTTGGGAGACAGAATATATGTTTGAATAGCAACAATTTGTATTTAGAGCTTTTGAAGCAATCAATACCAAATATACTGATCTTTAAAAACAACTTAGCAGCTCACTTCCCAATCGATTATAACAGGCAATAAATCCGAAGGTGTTTGCTCACTAGACATTCATGAAGCCAGCTGCTTTCAAGAGCTGGGAATGGGAGATGGAGCGAGTGCTGGTTTTGGGGCCCCAAATTATTCCTGTAACTATGTGGAATGAAAACACCACATGACACTGGTGAGGACTTAGCGGGGACGTATCTACGCACCTAGTACCGTCACTGTACCACACGGCAGCACTTCGGTTCTTGGGGCTGTTTGCCCCTGTGCTCCCTGAAAGGAGTTTACGTTTTTTTTTATGGAGACCGCTTGCAGATAAAAGCAGCTCTCTTGAGTCTTCAAACTTACCTGACTTTGACTCTGGAAATGTCTTTGGCTGTAGTTAAAGTAAGATGTGTGTCCCGGGGAATTGGAACACGGTGGCACTCTGGGACAGCAGACTTCCTGTGGGTAATAGGTGGCTGATTGATTCTGTGCTTGTTAGAAGGTTTGGCCAGTCCCTGATCCCGAATCTGAGATGCTGTGCTTGTTACTGGTAGCCTAAATACCTTTCCGAATGCAAGGACCTTTCGGTGACATCTTTATCATGTGCTGGCAATGTGTTGGGAATGCTTCTGTTGTGCAATTCTTTCTTTCCTGTTTTCAATCTACCCACTTAAAAACTGTTTCCCTTTTAGTGCCCAGTAAGGCAGAGGATCAGATTAAACCAATGTCTCCTACGAATCACTTTAAAGATGCTTCACTTGAACTTTAACGTACATATGCACATGCTGTGCTTCTGCCTTGGGCATAATTGCAAGTTAGTCATGGTTTCATGCATATTAAAGAATTATGTTAATGACTTTTTCTGTGGTCTGGCTACTGCTGTGAGGTGGAGTAGAGTGAGTCTCTGCCAAGCCAATATCAATGGATCCTTGACATTTCTGATACATCCGTTGCAATCATTTTCACGTGTGTATTTCAGAGACAGCTACACAGCTATGTGCGCATTCTACCTTAGATTATAATATAGGGAAGGGTCAGTAAAGCGCACCGGCCTGGTGAGAGTTGTTTAGTACAGGTTCTGAGCAGATGTGCTGTGAGTGTTCTAGGCAATGCCGGTGAATGCAAGCAGTGCCTCACACATGCTGAGCCAGAACTACCAAAGCACTACTACTGTCTCAGCCTTGTCATTAGCATCCTCCGTTTCTATATGCTTCTGTTCTCTGCTCTTGTCAGCCAAGAGCCATGGCAGGCGAGCACCAGAGACCAGTCAGGCCTTTGTGGTTTCAACCAATGTTCTCTATTTACAGGAACAAGCATTTTATGCACTTTCTATGGCCCCTTCTTAGTTGAGTCCAATCTATGTGACCAGGTTAGAAAATCAAAGAGGCTTGCAGGAGAACCTTGTGATCGCGTGGGAGGTCTTGAGACCCTCTGCCATACCTGGTGGTTCATACATGGCTCTACAAGGCAGATGAGCTATGTGTGTGCGTGTGTGTGTGTGTGTGTGTGTGTGTGTGTGTGTGTTTGTGTGTGCGTGCCTGCCTCTGCCCTCCAGAGTGCAGGGATTAAAGGCATGCACCACCACATCTGGTGGTATTCATACATTTTTAACTCATTTAAATCACCTGGCAATCACAGGGTCTAAGGACATCCAAAAGATTCTGGTCTCAACTCCCCGGGTGGAAGAAAAAGGCCTACACCAGGATGTTTGGGCAACCAGTTCCCTCCTGGGACTCAAGCTCTCGGACAGAATAAGGAATATTCCTGTGCCAAAGGGCTAGGCCAATGGGTGAGAGTTGTGGTAGAAAACAGGACGAGCAGTCCTGTGGGCAGTATATGCAATGAGAGGAGACACTCTCTCAGAGCTGGTGAAGAGACCTTGTTGCCACTGTGCCGGCAACAGAGAACACCTAAGGGGTACATTGTCATACTGAGCTCCTGAATCCCAGGTTAGTGGAAACACAGGTTCTCTTAGTGGATCCACAGGCTCTTCTACCCACGGGTCAGTGTGTGAGACATATTACAGACTCGCCCTATTCCTTGATGAGAAGCCTTGAGGAGAGACCAAGAGGAATCCTGTAGATAAAAAATAAATTTACCTGGTAAACCTGTAATTCTTTGTGTAATATCTGCTGTTTTCATAAACTAGGAAATACTTATCTGGAGACTGCTGACCTACGTGAGGCTTAAATCATCATAGTGAGTCCTCCACTATGCCAGTGTTTCCTGAGCGCTTGTTTCATGGCATTGGAAACACTGAAGATTCAGCAGGGAGCGGTGTCTGCCTCACTGATCTCATACCCTGCTGGGCTATGCAGTGAGTTCCAGGCAAACCCGAGCTCCAGCTCCACCTCAAACTAGACAAATTGACAAGTAAACAAATGATAGGTTATTCTGAGTCAAATATGAGTAACTATAGCCAGGAGCACAAATCCAGGTCACTCTGAGCGACGTGCCTGCTGTGAAAGATGTTACGGAAACTATAGTAACAGAACAAAGGATACACCAGCTGGACGGGCGACAGCAGAGCAAAACAATCTCATCTGTAGGATTTAGGCATCATAACAGTCTTGGCTTTAGGGCTGGTGGGAGCCAGTATTCTGCTAAGCTTAACGATGCATTCCAAAGGTTTTACTTAACAATCAAAGAAGTCAGGGCAGACAGAGAAGTTTGTAGCAAATGACTATGAAGGAGACTGATCTTCTAAGAGAAGTTGGTTTCTGGTCTGCAATATTTCTACTTGCCCTACAAACCATGAAGTTCTAGTCAGTCAACCAGCCCTTGGGGTTTTCCACAAGTGTCTGGCCTCTTCAGAAGAGTCCAGCTCAAGGGCTGAGATAATGAAATGGAATGGAATTTCAAATCAGAGTGGCCTGTTGAGCCAGTCATTTAGTTCAAATGAAAAGCATGAACTTTGTCTCCCTTTTCATCTCAATGTAGCAGCAGGGTTATCTTGGGTGGTGGTGCTCTGACACTTCTTGTCATCG